AGTGCTCCAGCAGGCGGATGCCGTGCTCCTTGACGATGAGCTCCTTCTTCATGGCCTGGAAGAGGGACATCTTTTGTCCTGTGTAGGGGTCGGTGTAGCCTGTAACAGCTCGCTCTGCACAGAGTAGTTTTTTCTGTAGCTCGCTGCCCACCAGCCCGGACGAGACGGCCTCGTCCCCGGAGAGCTTCTTGTTGGCGAGCGGGTCGATGATGAACCCAGTGGCAGCCTGCGCCTCCAGCAGCACCAGTGCTGTCCCTGGTCTCAGGATTCCCTTCCACATGGCCTGGTAGATGCTCATCTTCTCCATCTTGGCGGGGTCGGCCTTGGAGGGCACCAGCACACCAGCGATGCTTCCAGTCCCCTCAAGGTATCTTCTCACACTTTCCATTTGTGCTATTTCTTGTGCCGTCTCTTTTCCATCCTGGAGTTTTTCCATTGTTTCTTCTGTAATAATCTGAGCACTGAGAAGTTCTGACGCTGTTATTTTTTGTCTGAGTCCTTGGAACCAGATGTCCCTTCTGTCCTCCTCTGTTTTTCTAATGATGTTTAGTATGGTGTCGATGATGCCCTGTATGATGTGATGGGATTCCTCTTTGTATTTTTTCACCAGTTCTTTTCTTTTCTCTTCCGTGATGTACTCAGAACAGAGAAGGTCCCACAGGGAGAGCACGTGCCCTTTGTATTTCCCAACAGGCACTTGTACCTTTGTAGATAGCAGGGCTTTTTTTGTCTGCTCATCGATGTAGAAATAGTCACCTTTCCCCATGACCTGCAGCAGATACAAGCCGGTATCTTGGTCTTTGGAACATCTCTGTAGGAGCTGACTGTAACTGATTTTCTCATGAGTGTTTGGATCTATAAAACCTTTGTTACCGTGATCTGGATCAGAAAGTAGGAGAAACATATCATCATCCAAGTAGCCACGCCGGCAGGCCACCTCCACGGGCAGGCGGTGGCTGTGCACGGGGTCGATGATGCCACCGGTGGCGATCTGGGCCTCCAGCAGACGGATGCCGTGCTCCTTGGCTGTTATCTTTTGCCTCATGGCCTGGAAGAGGGATATTTTCTTTCCTGTGTGAGGATCTGTGTACCCTGTCACAGCTTGCTCTGCCAACAGGAGCTTCTTGTGCAAGTTGCTCCCCACCAGCCCAGAGGAGATGGCCTCATCCACAGAGAGCCTCTCATTTTTCAGTGGGTCAATGAGAAAACCGGTGGCAGCCTGTGCCTCCAGCAGCCCTAGTGCACATTGCTCGGTGAGGAGGCCCTTCTTCAGGGCCTGGTAGATGCTCATCTTCTCTTTCCGTGATGGGAGCAGAACCCCGGCAATGCATCCAGTGCCATCCAAGTACCTTTTGACGGTGTCCCTCTTTGTGAGGCTGGCAAGGGTGAGGCTCCCATCCTGCAGCTCATCTAGAGTTGTCTTGTTGATTATCTCAGAGTTAAACAGTTCTGATACTGACACATCCCCCCGGAGTCCTCTAACCTTGAGGGCTTCTGCTCTTTGCTCCATATCCGCGATTATTTTGAGGATGAGGGAGACAAGACCTTCCAGTGTGAGGGTTTTGCATTTGTACTGCATCACGAGTTCTTTCCTTTTCTGCTCGGAGATGTAATGAGAGCAGAGAACTTCCCAGATGGAAATTGCTTGGTCCTTGAACTTTCCAACTTTCACCTCAAGGGGCTTTGAGCGCAAAACCTGCTTTGTAAGCTCATCAATGTAGAAGTACTTCCCTCCTTCTTGTACAACTTGTAGCATGTACAACCCGGTCTCTGAATCTTGGACGCATCTCTCCAGGAGCTGCATGTAGGTGAGGTTCTCATGGGTGTTGGGGTCGAAGAAACCCTTGGTGTCGTCGCTGGGGTCGGAGAGGATCTGGTTCATTTCCTGGTTGAAGTAGCCGCGTCGGTAGGCCACCTCCACGGGGATACGGTGGCTGTGCACGGGGTCGATGATGCCACCGGTGGCGATCTGGGCCTCCAGCAGGCGGATGCCGTGGCTCTTCACAATCAGTCCTTGGTTCATAGCTTCAAACAGAGACATTGGGGCTCTTGTGTAGGGGTCAGCGTAGCCCGTCACGGCTCTTTCTGCACAGAGCAGCTTTTCAAAAATCTCCCCTCCAATTAGACCTGTGTTTAATGCTTCCTCCACCGAAAACTTCTTGTTTTTCTCTGGGTCAATGATGTAGCCAGTGGCAGCCTGCGCCTCCCGTAGCACCAGTGCTGTCCCTGGCCTCAGGATGCCCTTCCTCATAGCCTGGTAGATGCTCATCTTCTCCTGGCTTGGCTGTATAAGGACCCCTGCTATGAAATTGCTGCCCTCCAGGTACCTGCGAACAGAGTCCATTTCAGTGACCTCTTTGACTGTTTTCTTCCCCTGGCTGAGCTCATCGAGGGTTTTTTTGTCTATCAGTTGAGACTGGAAGAGGTCACCGGCGGACACTCTTTTCCGCAGGCCCTTGAATGCAAACTTCGTGCCTTGGGTCTCAGTCTCCTCGATGATTGTGGTAACGATCGTTACGATTTCCTGTAGCACTTCAGCATTCTCATCTTTGTACCTTTGCACCAGCTCTCTTCTCTTGCTCTCTGAGAGGTACTCTGAGTTGAGAAGGTCCCAGACGGACACTGTCTGTCCCTTGAACCGCCCTATGTTGACACAAACAGTCACAGATTTCAGCACCTCCATGGTTTGTTCATCCACACAGAACACGGCGTTTTCTGACAGAGGAAGGAGCCAGAGGCCTGACCCAGCCTCGTGAATGCATCTGTCCTTCAGCTGCTGGTAGGTCACGTACTCCTTTGTGTTTGGATCGAAAAAGACCTTGGTGCTCTCATTCAGCTGAGAGAGGGCTTGGTTCAGGTCCTCATCGAAGAAGCCGTACCTGCAGGCAGCCTGGAGTGGAAGGTGATGATGGTGAATGGGGTCGATGACCCCTCCCGTGGCCAGCTGGGCCTCTAGCAAGGGGACGGCATCTCCCAGGGGAATCAGCTCTTTCCTGAGCGCCTGGCACAGTGAGATGGTGCTCCCTGTGTAGGGGTCGGTGTAGCCGGTCACTGCCCTCTCAGCCAGAAGGAGCTTCTCCGTGAGCTCTTCCCCAACCACGGCTGCTTTCACAGCATCCGCCACGCTGAGTCTCTGGTTTGTTGCTGGGTCGCTTAGGTACCCAGTGGCTGCCTGAGCTTCTAGCAGCCTCAGAGCAGCCCCAGGGAGGAGGAGGTTGTTCTTCATGGCATCGTAAAAGCTCATCTTCTTTTGGGATGCCTCTATGAATACCCCGGCGATGCTGCCCGTGCCCTGCAAGTACCTCTTCACGCTCTCCATTGCAGCCACTTCCTCGGGAGCCCTTATGCCCTGAGCCAGTTCTTCAAATGTCTTCTCAGTAATGATGCCAGCATCCAGCAGCCAGACTGCGGGGACACTGCCCCGCAAGCCCTCCAAGGTGATGTGGGTGCGGGCTTTCATTTCCATCTCCCCAACCAGTCTGAGCACAAGAGCAACCAGCTGCTGCAGCGACACTTCCTCGGACCGGAACTTCTCCACGAGGTCACTCCTCTGCTCCTCGGTAAAGTATCCAGAGTGGATCAGCTCCCAGAGGGAGACCCCCTTTGCCTTCACCACAGTTTCTTTCAAAATCCGCTGGATATGTTCATCAGTGTGGGCAGGAGCAGCTCTCTGTGGCAGAGGCAGCAAGTGGAAGCCGGAGACCTCGTCCTTCTGGCAGCGCTTGATTAGCTCGGCGTAGGTCACGGTCTCTTTGCTGTCGGGGACGCAGAAGACCCTGTTGCTGTCACTGGGCTTAGAAAGGGCCCTGCTTGTGTCCTCATCCAGGCACCCTCGCCTCTGGGCAGACTCTATGGGGATATAGTGGCCACACGTTGGGTCAATGATGCCTCCCGTCGCCATCTGCACCTCCATCAACTGCATGGCCTGTTTGTCAGCAATCAGGCCCTTCTTCATGGCCTGGAAGAGGGGTATCTTCCTGCCCGTGAAAGGATCTTTGTAGCCTGTCACAGCCCCTTCTGCATGCTGCAGCTTCTCGTGGACTTCTGGCCCAATGACTCCCTCCTTGATGGCATCATCCACACACAGTTTCTGGTTGTTCACCGGATCGATGATGAAGCCTGTGGCAGCCTGGGCCTCTAGCAGTGGGAGGGCTACTCCTGGTACCATCAGGTTTTTCTTCATGGCCTCGTAAATGCTTATCCTCTGGTTTGAGGGCTGGAGTACAATCCCGCCAATGCTGCCCGAGCCGTAGAGGTACTTTCTGACGGAGTCCATCCGCAGGACTTCCTCTGGTGTGACGGATCCCTCCAACACCTTCTCAAACAAGGCCTTGCCAATGACACCCGTTTCCATCAGGTGGTAAGCGCTGACGCTGCCCCTCAGGGCTGGGAACTTGACGGGGGCCCACTTTTTCATTTCCTCCTCTAACATGATTCGAATCTGCTCCAGGGTGAGCTTCCTCAGCTGGTAGTGGTTGAATATCTCTCGGCGCCTCCCCT